GAAGGTAGAATGACGTCAAAAAGATTTGCATACGCAGGGTAATATTTGTGGAAGTGTACATAAGACTGTAAGCGTAAATTAAATTTGCATGCGCAAGAGAAGCTTTGTAAAGGTGTAAATCACGTTTCAAAATGATTTGCATTATTTTACCTTCATAGAATGTGAGCGAATCATCGAGCACCAGTCTCAGATCAGCAGTCACTCACTTGGCATCGAGGCCCCTGACGGCGTCCTCAGCGTCTCTGGGATCTTCAAACTCCACGCAGGCGATAAAAACCTAATGTACATTCTGAATTCAAATGAATAATTTTGCTTTTAAGTGTCTGCTTGGGAATAAAGTAAGCGCCCAGCCCTGCTTCACAGAGACACACTGTATGAATGATGAATGTATGAAGGTAAAATAATGCCAAAAAGATTTGCAAACGCAGGGTAAGAGTTGTGGAAGTGTACATAAGACTGTAAGCGTAAATTAAATTTGCATGCGCAAGAGAAGCTTTGTAAAGGTGTAAATCACGTTTCAAAATGATTTGCATTATTTTACCTTCATAGAATGTGAGCGAATCATCGAGCACCAGTCTCAGATCAGCAGTCACTCACTTGGCATCGAGGCCCCTGACGGCGTCCTCAGCGTCTCTGGGATCTTCAAACTCCACGAAGGCGAATCCCGGCGGGTTGCGAGCGATCCACACCGTCCTCAGCGGCCCGTAATAACCGAACGCCCGCTCCAGCTCACCCTTCCCTGCCCCGGTGCCCAGGTTACCCACGTACAACTTCGTTTCTGAGAGAGGAGAGAGGCGTAACATCTCATCTACAGCTTACCACGATGATCCACAAACAGGATTCTAACCCGTTTAATCACACATTTTTCCCAGACATGAAAATATCCAAATGCTGTCATCATTAGTAACCCTTTGAAATAATCAATAATTATTTTTTGGGGGGAATAAAGTGAGTTAAATTGTGTTTTACGGTCAGTCACAATTAATGTGTATACTGAATTATCATATTTCTGCAGTCATCAAGATATTTATATATCTCAGCCCAGCTATTTTAAACTGTTTGATCACAATCTAGGGTTACTATTATACATAAAAACCCTTATACAACTGAGATAAAAGACTAAAAATACGACCATCAGTGTGTTACTTTATTGTAACATGTATCGTAAAATTAGTGCTACTAGTATTACAACATCAATATTGTAACTTAATTGTAACATTTTAAACTTTTAATTTAGTGCAACATTTTAGTATACGTGCAACAGTTGCATGTATATGTAAACCTAAATGCACTGTATTGTGAAACTCAACAAAACTGAATAACTGTGAGTTCATATATTAATGCTAGACACCTTAAAGATAACATGTATCAAAAATCTTTGTCATATCTTTATGTTAACATACTTTACTAGCCTTTTGTTTTGGACAAGGCTAGTTTTTGACAGCACATATTTAATTGAGACCCTTTATTTTTTCCATATTTGCAGGAAATGCACCAAAACATCAGTCAGTGACATTATTAGAGCTTTATACATATGGTGAGATTAAATGGGTTAATTATATATTACTGATGTTTTTACAATATATTATATTTTCATATATATATATATGTTTTTCAGTTTTAATTTCAAATGTAGTTTTATTACTACTACTAGTAGTTTATAATTGTAAGATTATTATTAGCCAGTGTTTACAGCGCGCCAGGGTTAGCAGTTAGCATCGCGTGCTAAACACAGCAAAGCTCTACACTAAGCAGCCGCATTCACACACGAGATGAAACATGACATGTGTTTAATTTTCGTGATTTATCAGACTCACCGCCTCCGTGTCGCCCATATCGCGACATAACGAAGAAAGAAGTGAAGAAATCCTGACAGAAACAAACAGCCGCCTTCTTCTTCTTCTTCTTCTTTTTGTTCAATGGCCGTTCACTCCTTAGGAGTATTACCGCCACCTACTGTATATCTTGCGCACATGAGTGATGAATCTGTACTGAAGGAGAAAAAAGTGTGTAATGCCCCACCCACCCCAGAGGATCAGAGCCCAAGCTTCAGCCAGCTTCCACACTGTGCTCCTCATCCTCAAACACTAAATCCTGTGAGCTCTAGACATGTTAAAACCACCTTAAACATCTGACTAGCACTCAAACCCTTTCCCAGAAGCTCCACGACACTCACTGGGCTGTTCCTTATATTGCTAAAAACACTGTTACGCTGATCTTCATATTTACTAGATTTAAAGAGCACATGCTCTACTGTTTCAAAAACACCACATTCATCACACATACCATTTTCATGCTTCCCCATTAATGCAAGTGTTGAATTTAGTCCTGTGTGACCCATCCTTAATCTAGAAATCATTACTTCTTCCTTTCGGTGTCTTCCATAAAACTGTTCTTTTTTCCCTACTGATTTTACAATATTATAATACCACCTACCTGTGCTGCTATTTTCCCATCTTTGTTGCCATATTCTTATTATTTCCCTATTAATTACTGATTTTATCTCATTCCTTCCCAGAGGTACCTTAACATCCACCAAGTTTTTCTTTAAAGCTTCTTTTGCTAACTTATCCGCTGTTTCATTCCCTACTATCCCAATATGTGCCCAACAAAAGTATACGATTATACCCTCTATTTTCAGTCTGTACAGTAATGTATACAATCAGATCCATCACCCATGCTACTCTTTTTTTTCCTTTTACTGTATCTTACTTCCTGAAAATCCATGTCTTGATCATTGTCGCCATCCGAAGTATCTCCCCACACCAACGACGCCATTCAACCCGGGTCGTTGCTCAGACCCACGTGGGGCGCAGCTCCTTGTTCTGCGCGTGCTGACCAATCAGAGCACTGGCGTGCATCTGATTGGCTTAGAGCAACCCAAACAGCCGCCTGTCAAAGGATGACGCTGAAAACTACATTTCCCATAATGCTCCTGTTCCGAGCTCTGACTGCGCGCTTATTCTAAATTATTTATTTTGCTTTATTATTAGGCTTTTTTGTGTTTTTATATCCCATACACTCTCTATACGTTTAATAAAAATATTTATATATTATAAAAGAAATTCTCTGTGACCCAGCCAACCAATCACACGAGCGTTTGCGGCAGTGACGCCACACGTGACCTCCGGCTCATATTATCAGTCACATAAACAACAGTGAGGCAGCTGAAGTATCTGAACACGATTTTCTGTTTTGTTTGGGTTTATTTTATGATGTTCTCTGGCTTTAAAGGTCCCATATTGTACACCTTTCTGGAGTTTTATTTGAGGTTTTGATGTCCTTAAGAATATATATTTGCGGTATAAGTACCAAAAACCATCTCAATATATTTTTACAGCTCCTCTTTATAAAGAATATCTCTTTGGATTTGAGACTTTAGTCTTTGCAACTTTACAGATCTTCTTTATGCACCAAGAGCTTGTAACACTCCAAAGAGAAAGGAAGACTTGAAATCGCATCATATGACCCCTTTAAACTATGGTTAGTGTAGCAAAACCATGGTTAATTTGTGGTTACCATGGTTTAACTATAGTAACTATGGTTTTTTGGTTTTATTTGTGGTAAAACCATAGTTAATTTTCGTAATGGGATGGCGGACAGCGGTGTGAGTAAAATAATAGATGACCTATCCACATTTAAGTCCAAAGTCTGGACTCACCTCGGCTTTTATACCATTGATGGGACAAACAAAATCAACAAAGAGTACATGATATGCAAGAACTGCATTATTTGCATGTGCTTTAAAGCCTTGCCGGTAAACATTTAATTCGCGTGCTGTTCTGAAAGCGCACGCACACTAAAAAGCCTGTGAAATAGCGCCTGTTTACTAGACTAAGTTATCTTTCACGTCTGATTGCGCTAATACTGTAAAAAACACACAAGGTTTACATATAATCACTGTTGGTTATGTCCAAAGTGAAAATAAACAGTCGAGAGAAAAACGGACGTGTGCAGCTCTTAAAGTGACAGCAGACTAATAATACTTAAAGGGGTCATATGATGCTATTTAAAAGATCATTATTTTGTTTATTTGGTGTAACAGAATATGTTGACATGCTTTAATGTTCAAAAAACACATTATTTTTCAAATACTGTACATTATTGTAGGTCCTCTATGCCCCACCTCTCTCAAACGCGTCGTTTTCAACAAAGCCCCCTCCTTTGACAAGCGCAGTCTGCTCTGATTGGCCAGCTGACCCATGAACAAACTTGATGTTACCACAAATATAATGTAGCATGAACACCAATCATACAGTATTCATTTAAACACACGTATTTATCAATATTAGTCCATAAGATGGTTATACAATTAGTACAATATACTTTTATCACGGAGCACTCACTCACCGCAGCCAGACACCCTCTCGGCTGGCACGAATCTAAATGACCCTACCGGAACTAGTTCATTATCTGGGTGGAGCGTGCAGGTAGAGTGCAATTAAAGGGACCATACATGAAAATTAGTGTAGCAAGTGGAAACACCTTTTTGACCCTGTTACACTTGCTTTATATGTAAAACTCTGTCCACACTGAGAGCAGCTAAAAGGCTTTTCCTCACTATGAATTCTCATGTGATTGATAAGGCTTATATTATGTTTATAAGTGCTTCCACACTGAGAGCAGCTGAAAGGCATTTCTGAAGTGTGAGTTAGTAAATGAACCTTAAGATTACATTTATGTGTGAAACTCTTTCCACACTGAGAGCAGCTGAAAGGCTTTATTCCAGCATGAATTAACGTGATTCTTAAGGTCTGTTCCAAGAGCTTGTAACACTCCAAAGAGAAAGGAACAATTGAAATCACATCATATGACCCCTTTAAGCAGGCTGTGTGAATTTTACTGTGGACTCACTGTTTTGAAACTTATATGATTAATTTAAAGTTAAATAGCCCCTAGACCTCAGTAATTGTGAAAAAAGCCAGGAAATTTCAGTTTTGACAATATGGGACCTTTAACTTTTCATCGTGAAGTTAACGATTTATAAACAATAATATATTTGTAACTTAATTTAAAACAGTCATAATTGGAAGTATTTAAGTGTTTAATATTATTTTTTTAAGATATGTAAATACATTTTTAAGGTGAGGGGCTTCTGGAAACACTTTCACTCAAATGAATCGGTGAGTCACATGGGTTTTGAGTCACGAGGTGAATCATTTGCGTTGGGGATAATTATGAATCATGAAGTGAATCATTTGAGATTTGAATCATAAGGTGAACCGTCTGGATTTGTAATTATTATTAATCATGAGGTGGAAAATATGCCTTTTGAATCATGAGATGAATCATTTGTGTTTTGAATCATGAATTACGAGAATTACTTGCATTATGAATCATTAGGCGAATAATTTTTTTTTTTGAAAGTTTTTAATCATTATGAATTATAAGGTGAATCATTTGCGTTTTAAAGGCTTAGTTCACTTCCAGAGTAAACATGTCCTGATGATTTACTCGCCTCCATGTCATCCGAGATGTTCGTCTGTCTTCAGTCGCAAAGAAATGAAGGTTTTTGAGGAAAACTTTCCAGGACTTTTCTCCATAAAATGGACTTTAATGTGGACCAATGGGCTGTAGGTCCAAATTGTAGTTTTGTAATCATTATTAATCATGAGGTAAATAATTTGCCTTTTGAATCATGAGATGAATCATTTGTGTTATGAATTATGAGAATTACTTGCATTTTGAATCATGAGGCGAATCATTTGGGGTTTTGAATCATGAATTATAAGGTGAATCATTGGCGTTCTGAATCATTTGCGTTTTGAATCATTATGAGGTAAATCATTGGTGTTATGAATTATGAGAATTACTTGCGTTCAATGATGAGACGAATCATTTGGGGTTTTGAATCATTATGAATTATAAGGTGAATCACTGACGTTCTGAATCATTTGCGTTTCAAATCATTGAGGTGAATCATTGGCGTTTTGAATCATTATGTGAATCATTTGAATTTTGAATGATTATGAATCATGATGCAAATCATTTGCGTTTCAAATTGAGGTGAATCATAGACGTTTTGAATCATTAGGTGAATCATTTGAATTTTGAATGATTATGAATCATGATGCAAATCATTTGCGTTTCAAATCATTATGAGGTAAATCATTGGTGTTATGAATTATGAGAATTACTTGCGTTCAATGATGAGGCGAATCATTTGCGTTTCAAATCATTGAGGTGAATCATTGGCGTTTTGAATCATTATGAATTATAAGGTAAATCACTGGCGTTCTGAATCATTTGCGTTTTAAATCATGAGGTGAATCATTTGAATTTTGAATGATTATGAATCATGATGCAAAGTCATTGGATGTTTGTTCGTTTTGCATGTTATAATAAATGCTTCCTGATGAATGCATAAACCAAGGCCATGCTCAGAATGGAAGAGTAATGAATCTTTTTGAAACTGAATAATTTGAACCAATTTGCAAAATAATTCAAAGCACTCTATGTCTGCTGGTCAGAATGGTGTAAATGCTACGAAAACTCAGCCCAAACGTTGATAAAAACACCTTTAACAAACCCACTGCAAATCTTATTGATATGTAATCTGTTACGTGCAATTAACAAATCATCAAATACTATTAAATACGAAGTGTCGGAATGTGTTATTCATTTCTAGGGCTTGTATTGTTTGTTTTATGGAGAGTTTGGTTAATCAGGCCAAGACAGACTATTGCGCTATAGGAACACATGTGCCTCAGCATCTCACAGTGAAGAGAGACGTGGCACGGTCGGCTAGCGTTTGGCATACAGTGGTAGAAACACTTTTATTCCCTTGTTTTAAGAAGGTGATCGGTTCATCTTTACATACTTATTGGCAAAACAAGAAATGATTGAGAAAATAAAAGTTCTAACACGTACAGGACAATCACGCGTGTTTCTTGAAGGTTTCTCCAGTACCTCTTTGGTGTGAGGGTACCTTGAACTCACGAAATAATCCAGAGAACGCTCTCCATCACCAGAAGAGCTGCTCCGTTTAGTCTGTCATCCAGCAGGCTTGTTTCTGTGTTTATCAGTCTGTGTTCAGGAGGAGAATCAGCCGATGACTGCTGAAAACCCACCAAGCCGTGAAATGAAACGAACATGGCACGAAAGACAACAAAAACACAATACAGAGAGTTCCTGAACGGCTGGGATTTGCACTTTATGGAAACACAATCGTCGTCTCAGAAGGACGTGTTTAAAGAGACAGTTCACCCAAAATTACAACTCTGGCATTATTTACCCTCCCTCGAGTTGTTCCAAACCTGTACGAGTTTCTTTCTTCTGTTGGACACAAAAACAGATATTTTTACAAATGTTGATAACCAAACAGTTGGCGGTAGCCATTGACTTCAATAGTATGGAAAAAAAATACAATGGAAGTCAATGGGGACCATCAACCGGTTGGTTACCCACAAGACACTTAGATGAACGCAGAAAAATATATTTTGAAGAAGGTCCCCATTGACTTCCATTATGTGGAAAAAATTATAATAGAGGCGAATGGGAACCGAAACTGTTTGGTCACCAACATTCTTCAAAATATATTTCTTCTAAGTGTTTTCTAAATGTTTTGAAGAATGTGGGTAACAAAACCATTTCGGTTCCCACTGGCTTCCATTATATGGACAAAAAAATACAGTGGAAGTCAATGGGGACCAAAACGGTTTGGTTACCTACATTATTCAAAATGTTTATTGTTTTGTTCTTTTAAGTGTTTTCTAAATATTTAAAAGAATGTTGGTAAACAAACCGTTTCGGTTCCCATTGACGTCTATTGAATGGACAAAAAAATAAAAAATACAATGGGAGTCAATGGCTACCGTCAGCTTACCAGTATCCATTAAAATATGTTTTGTGCTCAACAGAAGAAAGACACTCGTGCAGGTTTGGAGCAGCTCGAGGGAGAGGAAACGAACAGAATCCTCATTTTCAGGGGAACTGTCTCTTTAAGGGCACATGTTGCTTTTGTTTAGGTTACGAGGGGTTTGCGTTCTCCAGCAGCGGCGGCCTGCTTGGGAGGGAGTTTGGGGATGGGTGACTGTGAGGTGCTGTGGCGCGGCGGGACGGGCGGCCCGGAGGCTCCCAGCGGCGGCTCACATATAGTTATTATATCTCATAATTCAGACTTTTTTCTTTTTAAGATTTCCGAGTTTTTCTCTTTTTTCCACTGTGGAATTAAAAAATAAAGGTAAATGTGACTTTTTATTTCATACAAATTTCATTTCAAGAGAATTGCAAGATAAAAATCACAATTAACTTTTATATTTTTTAAGGCCGAAACAGGCTTTCATCATTTTACATCATGCTCACACAAGTGGGAAAATCTATTCTCAAATATAAAAAAAAATAAAAATTATATACAGTATATATACATATATAAAATTATAGATTTTCCTTTTATGCCAAAAATCATTAGGATATTAAGTAAAGATCATGTTCCATGAAGATATTTTGTACATGTCCTACCGTAAATATATCAAAACTTAATTTTTGATTAGTAATATGCATTGCTAAGAACTTCATTTGGACAACTT